AATAAAAATTATAATTAATATATTCAAATTTCATTAAATTACATATCTCCTGCAACGATTACAACCAATATTTATCCTAATATCATTCGTTCCTTGGGCTAAACGATAATTATCCACACCATTAACTTCTTTTATCCATTCACAACGACCTAAATATTTTTTATTAATTAAAAAAACTTTAAAATCTCGGTAGTAAAATTGTATAACACTGTTATTAGAAGATAGCAGAAAATTAGATTTTGAATAAGTGTAAAGCATATAACTACATATTTAACTCCTGAGGCTATTCAGGAAGAAAGGATGCAACTGATCAGGTCCAAAAAAACTATACAGTTGTGATATTGTTAGATTTTCAAGTTTATTTTTATTTCGATTTAGCTATTTTTGGACTCGTTTCGATCTTCGAAGTCTTTTTTTTGTTTCTAAAAAATTTTTAGTCCAAGGTAATGGATAACAAAGTAGTTCGATCTCTGAATATACAAGTTCGCTTCCAGCTGCTTAAATTAACATTTGCGTTATTCGAAAAATTGATAGCTTATATCAGCATATTTAATTATTCTTTTAACTTACTGGCTATTGATCCAGTGAATTTTTCTGAATTTTCATAAGAAAATATTTTCATTTCCACTTTATTATGTGATTGCATTTGCTCTGGAGGATTATCCAAAAATGGTTGGCTGGAATAAAAATTTTCCATTTCTTGTAAAGGAACGTGTTCTGTAACTAACGGCTCCGCTCCTACATGAACATTAGGTCCACTTGAGCCAGTTCCACCGATATATGTTGGTTCTGTTTCAGTCCCACTTGATTCTACCTCTCGGTATTGGTTGGGATTAAATTTGCCTCTTTTTGACGAACTTCCTTTTCTCTCTTTCCCCGACCCACTTAGAAGCGTTACAAACAATAAAAGATAAATAATGATCGAAATTTTCATTATTTTCTGAAAATATTTTTATATTCAGCGTAAATTTGAAATAACAATAAATTAAATATTTGAAATGAATGTAATATATCTGAGGGTTGTTAGATATACTTATCGACGCGTTACTATATCTCTAAGAAATTAGGATTGTAGATTAAGTTAAATTGTAGATTAATATTTTTAATTAAATTAATAATTAAATTAATATTTTTTGTAACAAACGAAGGAAATACACTCAATGCAGAATAGGACTAATAAAGAATACGAATTTAAAATTTTTAAAAGATTTTTCTAAAACATATAAAGCAGTGTCTATTTTTGAATGGCCGGACATTCTATTTTTCAATACTACTTTATGTTCCATTTTATTAAAATGGAGAGGATGCCAATATAAATTACATTACGGGCGTATTTTTCCGGCCCGGTGCTTACTTTCCGGATCAATATCACGAAAATCCCGATTTTTATCAAAATAACCGTATCTGGACTTTCCCGATATCCGTTTCAGGATCTGGTTCTGTTCAAACTCCGGTTCAATCGGCAATTGTGTCAGAGGAATATTAAACTAAAATATTGACGCCGAATAGTTGTTGGAGCAAAGATACTAAGTCTGATTGATCTAGACTACAAATGAAACCGCAACTTCTGAATCCCAAATCAATTTAAAATTGCATCTTTCTCCTTCTATTGCAATCAGAATCACCTGTAGCATAATTTATATCGGTTTCCTTTGCTTTCCGGTCATTTGAGTTATATATTAAGCTAATAGAAAAAATTAATGTATATTAAGCTAATAAAGGTATGATTTAAAATAGAGCTCCGGCCATTCGCTAATAGATACATATTATATAGTTTTTAGAAAATATAGAATAAGTTATGAAAATATTTAATAAGTATTATCGCAGTAAAAATAAAAAATTAAAAGTATTTATTGTTATGGCTAATTTAACATTTCTTGTCATCCTTTATATTGGGAAGATACAAAAAATTTTTTAAAAAGGTATGTCGCGAGCACACATTGAGTCAAAGTACAATGTGCGCTCGCGAAATTTCGCTCTTTGGCCGTCGCGCCATTCTTTCCCATACATTAATAAATAAATGTTTTTTACACTATACTTAGTCATTTTTCTTTCTTTTTGTAGGAGAAGCAGATAACAATCGTTCGAAAGCCAAGCCACTTTCCCAGACGGAAGAAAGAAGATGACCGCCCAACTTATTCAATATATAAGAAAATGGCCTAACCGTTTTTATTCGTTCACTTATATTCTTTTCTATTTGAAATATAAATTTTATTTATTTGTAATAAATAATTTTTGTTGTTAGCGTTGTCTAACTAATAAATCCTTATAGTAAATTAGATCATACTAGGGTGTGTAGTTCGAGGAGTATCATCCGGGGAAAACCCTCGAGGTATACGTTGGGGCCGGAACAACCCAACTTTAGTTAAGATCCAATCGTGTCAACGATTGTAAGAAGATCCAATCGGTTTTCGATTGTAAGAAGATCCAATCGTGTCATCGATTGTAAACAAGATCCAATCGTGTCATCGATTGTGAGCAAGATCCGATCGTGTCATCGATCGCTAAAGCTGTCAGGCTTTGTAATACTTTTATAACTTAAGATAAACGTTTCTATTCGTAAACAATTAATTCTGCTTATTAATATTTAAACATCGAAAGACAACAGAGACTAATCCGTCGAGGTTAGTCAGATTGCGCACTAGATTATCAAGAGACAAAAAGACATTTAATATTTCAGACCGATCAGCAAAACCACTAATCAAATCAATTCTTTTTGCTTTTGATAAGTGGCGACCCATTCGGCAAATTTGTGTTAACAAAGCAACAGAAGAAAAAGGCAAGTAAAATTTTTTTTTGATTTGTCAAAATCAAAAATTAAAGAAAAAAGCGGTTAAAACTTTGATTTGCCAAAATCAATTAGAAAAAGAAAAATTTCGGAAAATCATCGGATTTAATTGATTTGTCATAATCAAAGAAAAAGTATCGGATAGATATAGATTTGTCATAATCAGAGTTAAAGTGAAAAAGGATTTGTCATAATCTAGAGTTAGGAGAAAAGCGATTGTTCATAAGAAAAGATAAACTCAAATATAGATTTGTCAGAATCTATATTTAGAATTCTAATTAGTGATAGATTTGTCATAATCTATCAAGGTAAAACAGATTTGTCATAATCTATTTATTAGCATAAGAGTAAAGCAAGAACAGTGATTTGTCAAAATCAAAAGTCAAAAGTAAATTACAAATACAGATTTGTCATAATCTAAAGTTATAAAATCGATAAACGATAGATTTGTCGTAATCTATCTGAATAGAGTAGATTTGTCGTAATCTATTTGAAAAATAAATTTGAATTAAGCCTAGCTAAGAAATAGATTTGTCATAATCTATATTTGTAAATTACATTTATCGTAAGTTAAAACTGTAGAACAGATTTGTCATAATCTGTCCGAAAAAATAAATTTGTCGTAAACTATAGATTTGTCGTAATCTATAGAAACAAAATAGATTTGTCGTAATCTATATTTAAAATAAAAATTTGTCGTAAAATTTGGCGTAATCTAGATTTGTCGTAATTTAGATTTTAAGAATAAAACACACAAACTTTAATTAGTCTAAATTAAAGTCTCTCGTCTTGATAGGAATGTCATTTCCAGAATTCATAGTCCACCCGATAAAGCTAGCGGTAGAAATCCTCAATGATTATTTGAACGAAGCGGTTCCGGTGGTCCCGCCGGAACCAATGAGCAGTCAAGAAAAGCACATAATATTCGTTATGCACCGATCATTAAAAGCGAAAAATGATGAAATATTCACGCAGATTGAAGAAATACGAAACGCAAGGCATGAGTATGAAGAAAGAATGAAAGACTTAGATAAGCATGAAAGAGCCGAATTTGATCAAACGTTAAGAGCAAGCGTCGACTTGCAAGAGGCGTACCATACTCACCGTTTAGGGAAGAAAAGACACGCAAAATATGCAGAAATCATAGATCAGTTAGAGATAATGTTAGGAAATGGTAACGGAAATGGAAGTACAAGAAAAAAGGGAATAGTATTGCCAAAACTAGAATTAAAACAATTTGAGGGTGAAGAATGGGAAAATTTTTGGCCTTTATTTGAAGCAACAATACACAATGATAATGAACTAGACCCAATCCAGAAAATGTCTTACCTTGAATCGTTGTTAGTAGATGAACCAAAGAAAGTTGTACAAGGATTATTACCGTATTCGGAAGCAAATTATAATTTAGCAGTAGACCTTTTAAAAGCAAAATACGGAAAAGATGAAAAAATAATTCGAGATTTGCATAATAAACTGTCAAGTTTACCTGAGTCTCGAACGGTTGAAGATGATATGCAACTACAAGTAGAAGTCGAACGTATATGTCGACAACTGGAACACTACAAGCAAGATCTAAGATCCCCGCAAATATTTTTAGGACTTGAACAAAAGATGTCTAAGAAAGTATTGCATAGATATTTAGATTTAAAACAGCTTGATGGTAATGATATATGGACAACTGAACTTTATAGGAAATATTACGCAAAGGCAGTAGAGCATTGTCAAATGCTTACTGAAATATATCAAAAGGGTAAGAAAGACAAGCAAGTAATGAGAAAAGAGAAAGACTATCGAAAGGAACCGTCGAGTTCCACAATGAATTTTGCCATAAGGTATCAAGGTCATGAATCAAAAAGAAACTGGAAAGAGAACAAACAAAGACCAAGTAGAAGTACAAAAGCTGAAAGGTTTAAAGATGAAAAACATTGGAAAAGAAAACCATATAGGGAAAGAGACTACTCAACAAGTAGATCATCGTCATATTCAAGCTCAAACAATTCAAGAAGCCCGGATCGAGCTCATAGAGGATCTCCCTGGCCACGCGATAAAAATAAAAATTATCGAAATGAAGAAAGAAGTGGTAGTTCGAGTACAAGTAGAAGCCCAGCTCGATACCCATGTCAATTTTGTCAAGGGAAACACTTTCCTTTAGATTGTAAAAAGTATAGAACTAACGAAGAAAGAGTAAAACAGATACAGAGATTAGCATTGTGTTATCAATGTCTAAGAAAAGGTCATAACTCAAAAGAATGTCCAAAGTATAGGCAATCATGCTTCCTGTGTAAGGGTAAACATAACGTCGCATTATGTGAAAAAAGAAGCAAAAAGGAGGAACACGTAACATCAACCGTGTCTGAAATTGAGGAAAATGAAAGTGAAACAAATAAATCGTTAGCAATAACATCACTAGGATGTATGAAAAAACAAGAGGAAGTATTCACGTTATTAAAATGTATTAAAGTAACAATATACAATCCGCAAAAGACACATCTAAAAAAGCGTGTCATCGCATTTTTAGACCCAGGAAGTGAACGCAGTTACATTTCAGAAGAACTGGGGAAAAAATTAGAATTAGAAAAAATAGGTGAAGCAAACTTCAACGTAAGTGGTCTAGCAGGAGTAAAACTTGGAACTTACGACACGCAAATTTTAGAGTTTGGAATAAAAGGAAACAAACTAGACAGAATAATGAAGGCTCGGGCTATGGAAAAAATAATGAACAAGTTGAAATTTATAAAATACAACAGAGCAAAATTAGAAGATTGGAAATTAAATAAAATCAAAGAAAAACCGGAACTAGTAACACCTGAAATCCTTATTGGTAGTGATTACTATGATTCATTAAGGGTAATAGCTAAAGAAAAATTACCCAATGGATTTTATTTGAACGAATCTAAATTAGGACACTTTATCTCAGGTGAAGGAAAAATAAACATGAAAGAAGAAACAAATGAGAAGTCAGTCGTCGTACTAACTTCTACTGAAGACTTTATAGAAATTGAAGAAAGTAGTAACAGTAAAAGAAAAGGAGGAGATGTAAAGTTAAATCAATTGTATGAAAGACAAATAAATCTTGAAACAATAGGTTTAGGAGACGCAAATCAAGATGAAGATAAAATTTGGCTTGAAAAATTTAAACAAAATTTAAAGTTTAATGGAGAAAGATATGAAGTCAAATTAATCTGGAATGAAGAAATACACAACCTACCAAGTAATTACACACTAGCTTTAGGAAGATTAAAGTCAAACAAAAAGAAGCTAGATGAAAAACCACAATTAAGGAAACAGTACCACGATATAATCATGGATCAATTGGAGAGAAAAATGATTGAAGAAGCTCCAAGAATGAGGCAGCAAATATGTCATTATTTGCCGCACCATTTTGTAGAGAGAAAAGATAAACAATTCACCAAGATTAGGATAGTTTTTGATGCAAGTGCAAAATTGCGAAAAGAATACCCATCGCTGAATGAATGTTTGCATAAAGGACCAAACCTTTACAATGATTTAGCTGGAATAATATTAAGAGCAAGAGCAAAACATTACTTACTAACATGTGACGTAGAAAAAGCGTTTTTGCAAATTTCAATCGCGCCAGAAGATAGGGACGCTTTACGTTTCCTTTGGTATAAAAATCCAGAAGAGGAAACAAGTGATATCGTTGAATATCGCTTCAGTAGAGTCACATTTGGAGTAATTTGTAGCCCAGCACACCTCGCAATAGTACTTAAACAACATTACGAAAAATATAATTCGGCCGTCGTGCGTGAATTAGAAACCAACACATATGTAGACAATATCCTATTAGGGTTGAAAGATAAGAATTTAATTGAAGAAAATTACAAATATTTGAAGAAGTTAATTTGTGAAGCAACGATGAACGTTCGTGAATTTACGTCAAACGCATGCGAGGAAATATTAAAATTACCAGAAGAAGATAGAGGTGGAACGGATACAACTAAATTATTAGGCTTAGGATGGAACTTGATAAACGATACAATAACAATAAAACTGCCAGAATACAAGGAAGGGAAAATAACAAGGCGAACGATTTTGTCACAAATCGCTCAACCATTTGACCCCTTAGGAATTATAAGTCCAATAATTCTTAAAGGAAAATTAATAAGACAAAAGGCAGAAAAAGACAAAAAATTAAATTGGGATCACGTCGTTGATCAAGACATAGCTGAAGAATGGGAAAAGTTAATGCAAAACTGGAACAGTCAGTCAATAGAAATACCTCGAAAATATTTTAAAAATGAAAAATAGATAAAAGAAGTGGAACTACACGGATTTTCCGACGCGTCTATAAACGGATTTGGATGCGCAATATACATAAGGAAAGTCGAAAATGAAATAGAAACAATGTTAGCATTCGCAAAGAGTTTAGTAGTACCAACGCAATTAGAAAAATTGAAAACGTCAATCCCGTCGTTGGAATTGCACGCTATGAAAATATGTTGTTCAAATATTGAATTCGTTAAAAAAGAAATAGAAAAAGAAATAAAAATAAGTAAAATAAAATTGTGGACTGACGCAGCTGACGTGATAGACTACTTGAAATCAGAAAAAGAAAAGAATAGATTTATTAAAAACAGAGTGAAAATAATTAGAAAATTTAATGTAACCCACGTCGCTGGGATTGAAAACCCTGCGGACTTGGCATCACGAGGAAGTACAATAGAAGAGCTAAAGCAAAGCAAATTATGGTTTGAAGGACCAGAGTGGCTAGCAAAAGAAGAAACAAAATGGCCGACGTCTTTAAAGAATTATGATCCAGAAACCTTTCTAGCTCAAACAAACGAGAGTAAGGGAATACAATTAAACTTTATTGTTAAGGATCCAACAGAAGAAGGAGAAACATTGTGTGAATTCGAAAGATTTTCGCAATGGAAAAGAGTTAGAAATTGCATAGCCTATGTACTGAGAGCTGTTATGCTCTTTAAATGTAAAAAGGTTAAAAAGGAAAAAGGATCAATACACGAGATACCTTTGCTTAAAATAAATGAAGTAGAGGAAGCTGAAAAGGTATTAATAAAAGAAGCGCAAAGAATATTCCCACCAGATGAGCAAAGTATAAAAAATCTTAGTTTGTTTAAAGAAGATGAAATTTGGAGAGCACGTGGCAGATTACAAAAAAGTGAATTGGGAAAAAATGCGATACACCCAATATACCTGTCACCAAAAGCGCAAATTGGAAAACTAATTATCCAAGATTTGCACAGAGAAAGAAAGCATACTGGGACAATTAATCTATGCACGGCACTAAGGGAAAATTATTGGATCCCAGGGTGTAGAAGAAAAATAATAAATGTAATACAAAGGAATCCAAAAACAAAATGTCATATTTGTGAAAGATTCCAAGCTAAAGCATATGATTACCCAGAAGCCCCACCACTACCAAGTTTCCGTGTCACCGGAAATAATATTTGGGAAACAGTTGGTATTGACTACTTCGGTCCAATGACAATTAAACAAACCGAAGGTAAACCAACAAAAATGTGGGGAGCGATATTTGTTTGTGCATTATCGAGATTAATACATTTAGAATTAGTAACAGACGCGACCGCTGAAAAATTCTTATTGGCTTTTACAAGATTTGCCCGTCGATGGCGAATCCCGAAAAGAATCATCTCAGATAACGGGACAAACTTTTTGTTGGGAAGTAAAGGATTGAAAAAACTCTGTCAAGAGAATGCTAAAGAAAGACAGCTTTGGTTGGAAATTTATGAAGACAAACAGATAAAAGATTATGCGGTAACGAACAAGATTGAATGGATCTTCATAACGCCATTTGCACCGTGGCGTGGAGGACAATACGAAAGGCTCATAGGGGTTGTCAAACACCACTTAAAGAGAGTCATAAGGAAGAAAACACTAACTATAGAAGAAATGTGGACATTGTTGATAGAAGTAGAGAAGATAGTAAATGAACGCCCAATAACCTTTATGTCTGAGTCGGAAGTAATAAAGCCACTTAGACCTATTGATCTTGCGTTTCCGATGTTAAAAGACACTGAAGTCGACATCGCAGACACTAACAATGACCGGAATGACCCCAACTGGTTTGATAGATATAGTAGTCGAGATAAGCTAATTGATAAGTACAAACAAGCCACGAATGCCGTCGAGCATTTTTGGAAAGAGTGGAGAACCTCGTACCTCATGTCATTGAGAGAAAAACATTTGAATTGCGCTAGCAAACCAAGATTGATTCCAGAAGAGGGTGATATAGTAATCGTAGCAGATAAAAACATTCCGAGAAATCTGTGGAATCTAGCGAAAATCACGAAAATAGTGTCAGAAAGAACCGCAAAAATTAGGATAGGAGAAAAAGAATTTGAAAGGGCTATAAAAAGTTTATTTCCTTTAGAACTAGAACAATTTCCAAACAAGACGAGAGACGAAACCGAAAAAATAGAAGAAAATAAAACTAATAAAAATTCTAATAATTCAAATTTTAATAACACTCTAATTTGTAACTCAATTTCAGAACAAAAAATGGAAGACTTGGTTGAGATTGATGCTGCTGAAATAACGACAGAAATTTTGGAAAAAGAAGAAAAATTAATGGAACAAACTGAAGAAGAAGAAGAAACACTCTCGCTTGGGGAAGCAGTTATTATTGAAAAGTTGCCGGACAAGCCATTAATCCCAAAACCTAAACAGGGCTCGTCAGAAGTCCAAGAAGGCTTATTTACCGTTAACTCACCGGTTTGGTTAGTGGGGGATGCTCATGTTGAAATTTTGGCGGAAGTAATCAAAGAAAAGGACTACCGAGCAATGATAACAAACCATCCGGCGGAAGAGAAATTTTGGACAACTCTCCCAGCCCGTGCAAGACTCCGAGATTCACTTGTCATAGTGATTCTTTGGTTTACCACATTGATTCCCAACATATTTGGGATTTTAGATTGGCTCACCAGAATTCAGAACATTAGAGTTATATGGATTGGAGCGGAAAATCCACCATACTACCCCATAACAACAATAAAACCAACCGAAAGCCTGCGGGAATTGTTAAATAAACTAGAAGAGACGGGAGTAAAATTTGAGTTTAGAAAAATATCAAAAAGGAAGGCAAAGTCAACAACAGAAACCGAGAAAAGTCAATGTTCTGGGTCAACGGTCGTCGAACCGCCTAAGAATAAAACCTTTCTACGGAGTGTTGTCATACATTCCCAAAAGGAACAACAACAAAAGCCCACAACAAGCCAAAGTAACAACATCATACAACCACCGGCCGTCGAGCCGCGACTTGGAAAAAATACACACCCAATCAACAAAAATGAAATTTACGAAGCATTCGCAGACCACAAAATTGTAAAGAATTACCCAAACGTACCTGTTTTCGACTATTTAGCTGGAGAGCATGTATATATTGAAGGTAAAGGTGAAGCAATTGCGTTCTTTACAAAGCGGTATATACTCTCGAATTTCTGGCCCTCAACATTCTGGATCCGAAACAATCAATATTTTTCCGTAGAGCAATTCTACTGTCACCAGAAATGTTTAATTCTGGGGAAAAATAAAGAAGCAAAAGAGTAATGTCAACACTAAACCCTGGGGTAGCCAAACGTATCGCAACATTAGCTACAAAAGAAGAAAGATTTATTTGGGCTAATTACAAATACAACGTTATGTATGAAGCTTTACAAGTAAAATTCTCATTGCCTAGAGAAAGAGAAGTATTAATCTCAACATACCCGGCAATGATTCTTGAAAGTAGCAGCGATTCGGACTGGGGTACAGGATTGACATTAGAACCAAAAATGAAAGTAGGGTATGGAAACAACAACCTTGGAATGTTATTAATGATTGTTAGGGATCAAATCATCTCAGGTACTAATCAAAATATACTAGTAGACGAGGAATCAGATAAAGACTTCCGATCGTGCGCTTCATCACCGATACTGAGTATTAACACAAAGAAAACATCCTCTCGGGGTTCAACCGTCGAGTTGCCCAAAAAACAACCAACCGTCGAGCTAGTTGAGGAAAAAGGGATAGATGAGTTTAAAAATTCTGAAGAGAAAAGAGAAGAAAAAATTTTGGAAAAATTTTACGAAACCATGGAAAACAATTACGAAGAAAGATTTGAATTCATAACAAATTTGGATAGCGTTCTAGAAAAAGAAATTGGGGAATGCCGCGCGATACCATTTGGAAGTACATTATCGAGACTTGCGAAAAAGAAAGCAGACATTGATGTATTCGTGTTTATGGCAGAAAATGGAAAACCAAAAGAAGAAAAACTAAAAAATATTAGAAACGCGCTACGTAAACACTACCAATTTGATAGCCTGACTGTCATTGCCAGAGCTAAAGTTCCTATAATCGTAGCAAAATTCAAAAATAGTTTTTCAATTGATCTAACGGTAGGCGTACCCAGTGAAATGAAAGGCATTTACAATAGTCTAGCATTAAATGTACTGGGAAAACTTGATGAAAAATTTAGAGTTATGTTTTGTGCAGTAAAAACATGGGCTCGTAAAATAAACGATGTGAAAAAAGGAACACTGAACTCATACAGCATCGTACTTTTGATTCAAAGTTTTCTATTCTCTAAGAAATGGCTGCCAAATATTTTTGATTTGAAACCAGAAATATACCAAGAAGAAAAAATTAAAGGTTTCGTGTCATCGAAACTGCATTGCGAAATTGTAAATGAATTAAAAGATGAAAATTTAACAAAAAACATTAAAGTAATAACTATGTTAGAGGAATTCTTCAAATGGTTCCTACACCTAGACTTTACCAAATTTATGGTCAACAGCCGAACAGGAAATTTAATAGAAAGAAATATATCTAAACTATTTAAAAATGATCAAGTTGTCATACTTGAGCCATTTACAAAAGAAGCAAACTCAGCACGCGCGGTAAACATGAAAGGATGGAAAGAGATTCATCAATTGTTAAAAATGACCGTCGAGTCAGCAAATAATAACAATTGGAATAAATGGTTAGAATTGTTAGGAATCGAAAAACCATCGTGGCCCTGTCATGGTCCACCAAGAGTAAAAACCGTTTCGGATAGGGACTCTGAACCGGAAGAAGATATTGAAAACACATTACGAAAACCATCCATTATAGAGAATATGAAAAATTTCGCGTTGTCGAACACTCAAAATCAGAACGAAGAATACGACCCGGCTCGCAATTGGAAACTTAGTAAGTTTGGAAAGAAAAATTTTAAAAAACAAAGAGTTTTTCTAAACTCTAGCATCTTTACTATAATGTTAATATTATCATTAGTACACATAGGGTGCGCTTCACTCTTGAATCCCATGATTTGTCATAATGAAGGGAACTCTAAATTTGTCAAAATTAGTAGAGAAAAAAGCGCATGCCTAAATATTGATAAAATATTTGATGAAAAACCTGTCACGGTAAAGCTAAATTTATATCGTCCAGATATAAAGGATTATGAATTTAAAGCAAAACTTTGCACAATAGTCGCACATACTGTCACGTATTGGACTAACATCATTAATGACCAATTCACAGACACAAAACAGACACACATAAGAATGTCAAAAGAGGAATGTGAAGAAATGATTAGAACAAGAACATGTAAATATGGAAACTTGTTTGGAGACTTTAGCACTTTAATAGCAACCACTAATAAACTTGAATTTGCACACACATATTGGTCCATAGGGAAAACAAAAAAGTCAGTCACAAACTGCATAATTAAAACAATCACGCTGATAAGTCGCCCTGGGTTAGATACAATATCCGCACCACTAATAAATGTAGATCACTGTAAATATTCAGAAGGATATTGTCACATAGCAGAAGAATCCATCGTCGTATGGAACATTGAACCAAAAGAAGGAATAAATGCTTTCTGGTACAACGATAAACGCCGTTGTGTGTTTAAAAAATTCGTAACCAGAAACGGAACCTTATATCGGAACGGATGGTTAAGTGACCCTAACGACCTAGCACTAACATTCGCAGAGGATCCAAAAACGATCATGTCATGTGAGGAATGGTTAGTGATAAGTGAACAAGGCATCGCAGTTGAACAAAGACAATATGACTTAATGCATGGACTTATAAGAAATCGCAAAAGAAGAGAAAAAGAATTAGGAATACTAGAAGGAAGTGTTGAAGTATCACAATTAGAATCACAAATGCAAGCACGATCACTTTTTGCAGATCGCGAACTCCGTCGTGCGTTCGCGACGTACTCGAAAATGTTATGCGAGTACATAACAGATTCGACGCTGTCAGGCGAAGATTTCTCACACTTGAATCCCACACTAACAATAAGAAAATTGGCAAACACAAACGAAATAGAAGCGAAATGGATTGATAAAAACATTCTGGAATTTTGGCCATGCACAACCATACACAAGTATCACTTCGCACCCACGGATGGCACATGTTACAAAAAACTAACAGTAAACGTGTCCATAAGCGACTCAGAAAATTATATAAAAGCATTCTTAGATCCATTAACATTCATTCTCTCACGTCAAGCAAATAAAGCACAATGTGAACAAAATAGAATAATAGCCGTCGTGCTAAATGGAATTGTATCACAAGTTGATCAACTAACAGGAAAAATTTCACAAGTAAAAGAGATAAGCACATTAACAAGCCAAAACAAAGAATGGTCTATAAAATTGCCAAAAACAGACCTACAAATATTCAGAAAACTAGTAATAACAAACTTGTCCCATCCGCAACTAGAAATGCTGCAATTAATAAAAAGTTTCCAAATAAATGAATTTAATCCCTACAAAATTGCAACAAAATCGAAGGGGGAAGGTCCTAGCGGAAAAAGATATTCCTTGGATGCCGGAATCCTCCAAACATTATGGCCAGTCCTAGATATATGGATGATATTAACCAGAGTCGTTGTACTCTCGGTTTTGGTAACCTGGTTCCTTAAGCTTTATAATTGGTATGTCAGTATCAGAATGAAGCGCACGATTAAGCATGAATTGAATAAAGATATTTTAAATCGAAACTACAAACAGATAGTGGAACCACCACTCAACCAAGAAGCAAACTCAGAAAAACAACGTACCATGAAGAATTGCCGAAGCTCAAATTTCGTCGGCATCAGATGTAAAAGACGTACGTTAAAAAGAAAGTATCGAAACTGTCACGTTTCGAGATTTTCGAAGGGGAGTGTCGCGAGCACACATTGAGTCAAAGTACAATGTGCGCTCGCGAAATTTCGCTCTTTGGCCGTCGCGCCATTCTTTCCCATACATTAATAAATAAATGTTTTTTACACTATACTTAGTCATTTTTCTTTCTTTTTGTAGGAGAAGCAGATAACAATCGTTCGAAAGCCAAGCCACTTTCCCAGACGGAAGAAAGAAGATGACCGCCCAACTTATTCAATATATAAGAAAATGGCCTAACCGTTTTTATTCGTTCACTTATATTCTTTTCTATTTGAAATATAAATTTTATTTATTTGTAATAAATAATTTTTGTTGTTAGCGTTGTCTAACTAATAAATCCTTATAGTAAATTAGATCATACTAGGGTGTGTAGTTCGAGGAGTATCATCCGGGGAAAACCCTCGAGGTATACGTTGGGGCCGGAACAACCCAACTTTAGTTAAGATCCAATCGTGTCAACGATTGTAAGAAGATCCAATCGGTTTTCGATTGTAAGAAGATCCAATCGTGTCATCGATTGTAAACAAGATCCAATCGTGTCATCGATTGTGAGCAAGATCCGATCGTGTCATCGATCGCTAAAGCTGTCAGGCTTTGTAATACTTTTATAACTTAAGATAAACGTTTCTATTCGTAAACAATTAATTCTGCTTATTAATATTTAAACATCGAAAGACAACAGAGACTAATCCGTCGAGGTTAGTCAGATTGCGCACTAGATTATCAAGAGACAAAAAGACATTTAATATTTCAGACCGATCAGCAAAACCACTAATCAAATCAATTCTTTTTGCTTTTGATAGGTACAAAATTTTCTATATGCGTAAAAGGAAATTAGTAAAAACTAAACTAGAAAGGTACAAAATTTTCCTTTATAATCGAATAAACTAAAATGGCTAGTAAAAGGAAAGGTAGAAAGGTACAAAATTTCGATATGAGAATTTTAACTTACGATTTCGTACTTTATCTAATACAAGTATTATTTTAGCTTTTATTTCTTCTATTTTTGTATCTATATTTGGCAAACAGATTAAAATATTGAATTAGCAAAAGCCTTGAAAAAACTAGTTTTTAGTGTTTGATAGACTCATCTATTTGAAAGTTCTTGCACGTGATTACTTTTTACCATGAATACCGTGGATTTATAATATTCTTTTGAACAATAAGCAATCGTGTAAAATTTTTAGTCTAGACGTCTGAGTGGGATAGCATCATAGAGATACCTACCTCTCCAGCAATTAAGAAATAAAAGTACAATTAAGAAATAAAAGTTTAAAAAATTTTTGTACCTTCCTAAAGGTACAAAATTCTCTTTTTGTACCTTTCTAAAACTACCCTTTCCTTTTATTCTTAATTGTACTTTATTCTACTATCGTGGCTTAATTTAGATTTTTTAAATTATTAATTTTTTGGCGTGGATTAAGGTTAAAGCTAAGGAAAGCGGAAAGCTTTGCCATATAATGAATATATTAAACCTTTATGTTATACCGTATTTGTTCTAACTAAATAGCATTCTATCTTAAAGAACCTTCAATTGAATGAGACTTTCAATGATTGAAAATAGAAGATTTTCAATTCTTTATTCAGTTTAATTCATTTTTATTTTAATTCTGAGTTTAATCTGTATATAATCCTATTTCTCCATTATATATTCTTCACTTCTTATTATTCTCCATTACTTGTCAAATATACTAAATTTTATCAACTTTTACAACCAGTATAACTGCGTGAGCTAACTCTGAAGACCGGCTTCAAAGCCAGCTCTGTAGGAGCCGGATTTAATATTTTGAAACCCCGAAGCTGGGGTTTCAAAATCTTATAATCTACTCAAAGTGCCTAGGTTCCATTGATTTTATATAATATATAATATTATATAAACTGATTAAAACTTATAATTTAATAAACCTAATAAATTAAATACAAAAATCTGATTTTTAAACTTTGATAGCAACTTGTTCTCAGTTTCTTCTCTATTTGAATCAGTTCAATTTTCATTTGTATACACCGATTAAGTAAAAAATTATTATAAAGTTACTTATTTTAAAAAATAACAAATTTTTATATTTCCCTCTAACTCCGAATAATCATTCCTATAAGTATGATATTTTGTGGAGAATGGCAACTCTCTTATGATTATAAAAAATATAAATTTAATACTGATAAAATTCTGTTGAATTTTAATAATTATTTAATCCGTTTTATCAATGGGGGGGGCTAATTATATATGACTCCCCCTAGGCCCAACACCTTAAACACTCAAAAGTCACAAATTTCAACAAGTTTAACAAAAGATAAACATAATAAACTAAATTACCTATATTGTTTCTCTTTGTATTTAGCTTTAATTTTTATATTTTTATAAATTTGCATTACCAAAGAGTAGATTTTATTTTAAGATTGGAATTTAAAACCAGTGCTGGCTAACTCCGGAGCCCTGCTCCGAAGCCGGCTCTGTCGGAGCCGGATCTATGATTTTGAAACCCGGAGATGGTGTTTCAAAGTCTTATAATCTACTCAAAGCGGCCCACGCCTTAAACACTTAAACAGTCACTAAATTGCAACAAGTTTTACATAAGAAAAACATAATAAACTAAACTAAATATAAGTTTAAAACTTAATTTTTTTATTTGTATATTAATTTGTATTTAGCTTTAATTTTTATTTTTATAAATTTGCACTATTAAAGAGTAGATTGGACAGAGCTATTTCGAAAAATAATCTCGAATATCGAAAGTTCGAAAAGCTGATTAAGTAAAGGCAATTATGTACTGACCTTATATGTTTACCAAATCAGCTAAAAAGGTATAAAAATTTCCTTGCTTAGCAGGGTATATTAAATCCCATGACCATCTTATATATACTCTTTCAATTGCGCCTTTACAAATACGCCCTTCCGATAAAGCTAATTTAAAGGTTATTTTACAAATTTTTCAACTCATTTATTATCAAAGATTTATTAGTTATTTTTTCAAAAGTATAGATAAATATTCTTTGATGAAAGAAAAGAATTCTTCGAAATTATTATTTATTTCTTTATTATTAATATTACTTCTCTTTGATTCAATTCAAAGCAGCTCAAAGCAAAATCGATTCAATCCTTATCAACTTCGAGATGTTGGAACAAGCGGGACAGGAACTAGTGAAGAACATGGAGGAACTGGAAGCAATATACCTACAACGAGTGGAGTATTCGATGAAGGAGGGGATCCTTCTATTCAACAAGCTTCTCAAAATTTATTGTATTTGGCTCAAAATTTTGGGAATAAAACATTGTCTTCAAATTCACAACCATTCGACCCTCAAGTATTTGAAGCAGTTCTGATAGAGCTAATGAAATTTCCCAGTTAAAAATTTTAATATGCTTAAATTTATTTAATCATGGGATTCATTTAAAATAAAAAAATTTCCCAAAGACGGTGTTGAACTAGCTGAATTTTTGACATAGTATTTCAATTACTATGAATTGTGGTTCGACCAGCAGGGCAGAGAATTCCCCGGGGAACAGGGGACACCACAACAATTCTCAATATTATACTAACCATTATTTCATTCTAACACGATGGCGTTAACATTTAGTTTTCTTAGTTTTTATTTTCAGAAATTGATGGAAATAAAGTAAAAGCAATTTGTAATCTCATTGATAAATTGGAAAAGAAAAAAGAAGATAATTATAAATATATAACTATCGATTATAATGGTGATATTATTTGTGAAGCTTGTACAGAAATAAAAAGTGAAACAACAACAAACGTAATTTAATTTTAAAATTTAATAAATATTTAAATGATTTAGTTCACGAATTTCAAAAACGTTGAAAGACATTTTAAAAGCGACAAGCATAAAGATTCAATCAAAAGTATTATTATTTTTGTTAAATTTTAGTTTTACGTGCCACTTCTAATCTAGATTATTTTTATAAATATAAATATATGTATATGCAGAAAATAATAAAGAAATTTTTAAAGATTTAAATGAAAATTATGAACTTGTTTTCGAACTGGTTAAAATAATTAAAGAAAAGAAAGAAAATTGGAAAGTATTCTGTCTAAAACAAAAATTAGCAACAAAAATATTGGCATTAAATAGATGGAGAAATGATAATAATAAATATAATCAAATAAAGATTTCGATGGATGGAAATTATTTTGAATGTGCGCCATGTAGTGAATTAAAAAAGCTTTATAAAGTTGAAATTTAATGGAAATATTTAATTTGTTAAATTTAAGATAAGAATATTGGATAGCCGAAATATCAGCAAGCATTTCAAAAGCATAAATCATAAGGAATCGATCACAGGTAAATAAATAAGAAAAGTTAGGAGGAGAAATGAACCTTCATTTGAAACTTCCTTCAAGGAGAGAAATCCCGTACTAAATTTTTGGCTAAATAGTACATTGTGTGATAAGCTGAAAAACAAAATCTTAGCTTCAATTGATTTCTTTTCAGATTGTTTAATTTATTTCCCATTTTTTCTTTAAAGTTACTTACTTTTCTAATTCTAAATTATTTTAAACATTCAACATTCAAATTATTTTTAAGTTTCACCAAAAGAAAAAGAAGTGGAGCCATATAGATTCAACATACTTCCACAATATATAATAAATTTTGATCCCAAACATTTTGGTATTTATTTATTTAATAAATGGATATACATATATGTATGTAGTCCATGTATCGGAGTAGTCTCTACGACCTGAGTCAAATGGTAATATTCCATAGTTGCAGTAACCTGTGGACAGAGATACATACCTGAATATTGGAAGTGCCAATTGTTGTACCAAGCTTCCTTTTGGAGTAACAATTTTTTTCTAGATCAATTTGAAGCCTATAAACATTGATACAAAATAGGCCTTATGCCAATTTTTTTAAAAATGTTCTAATTATGTTTAAGACAAAATTATTACTATTTAACTTCCTATCTACCTTAATTTAATTCAATCCCTAAAGATTCCCTATCTAATTCCCGATCTATAAAACAGGTAATACCCACGAATATAGTGTATGGAGCCCATTTTTGGTAGGATTTAGTGGATAACCGGCCCTACTAAAGTGTTAGGCAGGGATTCGGTCTGATAGCCTAGAATTTTATCTTTCAATTTTTTTGTGCACGTATTCAATTAGAGTCGTAATGTTTCTGTTTATATCTATTACATTATAATTGCTAAATTTAAAATCTAGATTATGATGAAAAACAAGCAAAAATTGATTTAATTAGCGAATATGAAAAATATTTCATTCTTGATGGTGAAAAAACAAAATGCATATTATGCAATTTAGTGGTATTTTAATTGGCAAATGTCAAGTTCGCTATCACCTTTCACAGGGGCCAAACTTTATAATTAATAGTAAACGAAAAGTATTTCTATTTGATTACTTGAAAATAAATATAGGTTTACTTAATTATTTGTGGATAGCGAAATGTACATTTACATTAAAAATATTAAATTTATAATGATTCAGAGACATATATTTTAGCTGGCCCAGAAAAGGCAAATTATACAACACATTCATTCTAAAAAACATCTGAATAATGTTCAAAAAGGTAGGAATGATGAATAATACTGTATAATTTTTAATAGAGGGAAATAACTTATCTGAACATAAAAAGTAATTTGAAAATATTAGAAAATTAATTAAAGCGTTGTTTTTGTTAAAGTTTCATGAAAAATTTCATAAAAATTTTATAGGAAAAATATAAGGGTTAGACTGAAATGTCTGACTTAAATCATTTTAATTTAGCTATGCTTGAAGAAAATGAGAAAAAACAACAATATGAATATCAGACAGAACATGAATGCTCTTCTTATCAAGGTAATAACTTATTTTTTATTAACATAGCCTTTGTAGAATCTCAAGTTTTATTTTGTAAAAGTAAGCCATAACTCTCTTTTCTAAGCAAATAGTTAAGAAAATTAAAAATACAAAAATTGGCTAAAGAAGGTTGATCTTGATTTATATTGAGTTAATTATAATGTCTAAGACGTCTGGTCTTGAGTCAAGACATTACTTGGGGTTTTTCAGTCTTGGCCATGGAGAATAGCCTAAAAGCACATTTTAAAAGCCTTCTCTAAAAGTAAAAATTATAAAATTTGTAAAACTAGTAAAAATTCACATTTTACCAAAAAAGATTTTGGAATGCGGCAACCAAATCCTGAACAGCAACAAAACTTGCAACACGGAATGGATACTCAACATCGTCAGCTTTATCAGTATCCCCAAACTTTCGGTATTTAAATAATAAATTTAAATATAAAAAATTATAGGAACTTCATATAAACATCAATTTTACGGGCAGCCAGGTTGTTTAATTTAATTTTAATATTATTAAATAGTAAAGGAATTACTCTTAATTCACAACAAATTACAGATTACCGTATTTGAATAAACATATTCTCAAATTAAATCTAATTATGTAGATTTATGATAAAATTATCCAAGTTAACCTTCGCTTTTTAACTTATTTTAATTCATCCGTTAAAATTCCCGATCTGAAAAATAGCCACGAAAATTGTTTCGGTTACACCTGTTTCGGTTATTTACTAAACATTTCTAAATATTGAAAAATAAAAACGCATATCCGTGTGAATATTATGGACAACCTGGCAGCTAAATATCTATCGAAAAATATCGACTGAAAAATATTAATCAATCGGCCATATAAAATATCGAAAAAATTATCGAAAGTCATTATTGTCGCAGATTTGAATTTTTGACGCCTAAAAGGATAAATTCTGTTTCCTAGCCGCAATAAATTCAAAAAAAATTTTCTATATACATATTTAAATAAGCCATGAAATAATTAAATAATCGTAGCTAAGGCTTTATCAGAATACTATGAGCATAATTTCAACCATTTTAATCTTAGAAGGGTAAGAGAGAACCCGCGAAGCTGCTACACCGACTCCGTGAATATCGGGACGGACCCACGTGGAATCTATTCACATTATTAGCTTTATTATCCCTAATATGTCAATTAATTAATAATCCAATTAAACAATTTTATTAAAAATTAAATCAAAAGGTGCTGGAACTATTCAATCAAATCTTGAACATCAATATGGACAGCATTTAATACAATATCCATATTATCAAACCGATCCTAACTATGGTAATTAAATAACTGATTTTATTATTTAACATAATGCAGGAACAATATATCCATCTGAGTTTGGTTATGGAATGCAACAACAAAACCCATATGATCGTAATTGAATTTAAAATTTTAATTTAATTAAATTGAAAATAATATTCAGAATTTGAAAAGGATACCGAGGCGGCAAGAATTGCGTCTTTGCGAGGGCGACATCGGGGAGGAATAAATATTAATGGTATCTTTTCAATAATATTTTTTATAATTCAAATAATTAAAGAGAGAGGATCTACTCGGCCTGAAACAACCAAACCTGATGAAGGGCCAAGTTCCAAAGGTAAGGGGAAACAAATTTGTTTTGATTTAAATGAATATCCCGATTCTGATGAATGAACAAATTTGAGAGAAAAAGAAGAAAGAAGGATGTGATTTGGATTTATTTATTCAACATAACATGCATTTTTAGATTTTAGTTAAAAAATTCATTTTTCTTTTAAAAATATGATAGCAAAATTCGGCTCTTGTCCAGTTTATGCGTCCCATGAAAGTATATGCGTCCCATCAACAAAAAATTGGATATTTCTTGGTGTTGCAAAGTAAGGGTATGGTTCCAAAGCATTTCTTCATGTTCGGGATCTACGTCCACTGGGTCTGGGACCGTTACTTACCCTATCCTTCGAAATTTCTGAAAGTTATAGCCAATTTTTAAAAATTTCATAAAAACGATTTTAACACACAGAAATTTCGAGGTATAGGGTAAGGAACGGTCCCAGACCCAGTGGACGTAGATCCCGAACATGAAGAAATGCTTTGGAACCATACCCCTACTTTGCAACACCAAGAAATATTCAATTTTTTGTTGATGGGACGCATATACTTTCATGGGACGCATAAACTGGACAAGAGCCCAAAATTCATCCATTATTTTACCAATTTTAGATAAAAATTTAAAAGAAATTTTTTCAATAAAATTTTTGGAATTGTGATGGTAAATAAATTATTAAATTTATTCAGCATTGTTTCAGCATTATCATCATTAATTTCCATAGGTTATATATTTCGAATTTTTTGCCTCGTGCAGGTATGTATGACCCAGATAACAATAAAAGATTCTGATCAAACGTTCGAAATTTGATTTTAGATTTCCCTTTATTTACAATTTTTTGTCAAATTTTCGAAATTTTTTTCTTAGAGACAACTCTACGCTAATCTCATATTAGTATCATAATAAAATTGAATTTCAATGCGTAATTGAGAAATAAAGTTCATTGATACTTTATGATATTGAGTGAAATAGGTGATTGACAGTAAGAAAGGAAAATTAATCTGAGACTTAAATAGGGGGGATATGAACAAAGTACCAATGTCTGATTAAAAATGAAGGGAATAATTATTTAAATTATATTCAAAAATATTTAATTTCAGTGGGTAACATCCAATCCACATTATTGACCTTTAAAATTATGTATTTAAATTTTAACAAAAAAATGAATGATTATTTTACCTGAATATATTGTGTCAAAGAAATGGGAATTTCCAAATCAACTTTATTTTCATATGAATTATCTTTTGTTTCCAATACATAAGTTACCGAAAATTTTGTAAATGTAAATATTATTTTGAATAATTCATTTTCGTTTAAATCTTGTTGACTAAAACATTTTGTTTTGTTATTTGCCCTATTTAGCCAACGTCCACTCTTTTAAATATTTAATTTAAGATATTATGAAATATTTTTTAATGAAATTATACTAAAAATATTTAAGACATATCCTAAACAATAGCCGTTAGCTTAGTCGGAAAGTTACATTACGTATTTAGCGAAAGCACGCAGGGTTTTTGAAACTTTGTTTCTCAAAAACAGAGCATGTACCTCAGGGATGTCACGGGTTACCCGAAACCCGATATCCGAAACCCGGCCTTTTTTTCGACCCGATACCCGAAACCCGATCCGAGAAATTTTCTAAAACCCGACCCGAAACCCGACCTGAGAATTTTTATTTTTCAAAACCCGACCCGAAACCCGACCCGGGTTTTCTCAAAATTTTCGCCCGCGTCGCAGAAAAAGGGAAGATTTTTAGCTTAATGATCTTCCAAAATTCTGAAAATTTTCGCCTGCGGCGCTGAAAAAGGAAGAAATCTGGCTTCGGACCTTCAAGAATTCTCAAAATTTTCGCCTGCGGCGCTGAGAAGGGAAGATTTTTGGCTTTTTGGCCTTCCAAAATTCTCAAAATTTTGGCTTTTTTTCGACCCGAAACCCGAAACCCGATCCGAAGAAAATTTTGAAAACCCGATCCGAAACCCGACCCGACTTTTTGCTCAACCCGAAACCCGATCCGAGAAAAATTTTGGAAACCCGACCCGAAACCCGACCCGACATTTTTCTCAACCCGTGACATCCCTGATGTACCTATAGCCATAATGTAAGAATGACAAGAAATATTAACTCTGAAATTTTTAATACATTGAGGAAGGAAATGAATAGGGGGAGGTAGAACCTGAATTTACTACCGTATTTGCTCTAATTAAATGACATCTCTAATTGAATGACACTTTTTTGGGGTATATGAAAAATAGAATGACTGTCATTCAATTAGAGCAAATACGGTATTTGATGATACTTGTAATCTTTTTATTCTCAAATATATACCGTATAGGAATCAAAACAAGAACAATTCTTTGTAATATTCATTTGGAAGACAGTGTGACCAACTTAATATCATTAAAAATATATTTAGTTTAAATAAAATTTTCACGAGTTTCATTCCATTTGACTGCTCCATATAAAAAATTAACACTAATAGTTTTGTTGAAATATTCTGGTATAGCACCTCTAACGATGACTTCACTTTGTTCATTTAATTTACTTTTTACTCTTATAGTACTATTATCAAATTTAAATTTGGGTAGATTGTTTGTTAAAGCTTTACATTTAGTCGAAATTATATCAAATTCACTGAACAAAACGTTATTAATGTGACCATGAATCTTAAATATAAAAAATTTTTACCTAATTGAAAAATTATACTATTAAATTTCTTCTATGTCTATCATGTTATTTACTTGACTGTGGACACTCTTACGCAAATTATACTAATCACTAGGGCTGTCCGAAATATCCACTGAAAATATATGCACCGAACAAGACCAAAATATGCACTGAAATATGCAAATTCCTTGAACCCTCATCCTCAATTTTGCTTACCTCAATTCTCGGAACTTCGTCCGGACTGAGAAAACTGTGGATCGAGAAAATTTTGGCATGCGACAAAAAGTGAATTTTTTGGCACGAAGCCGCCAAAAATTTTTTTCTAATTTTTTATCTATTATTGCGGATTTTTAAAAGTTCGAGATAAGATAAAATCTGAGCTGATACTTGGGGCACATACTGAGTCTAATTATGTATTGGTCATATCAGTGGAACTCAAATTAAAGCCAGTTTCGGACAAAATTTTTTTCCGGTGAAACACTACCATTTAGTAAATAAAAAACAAATTACCTCAACAAGATTTACGGCCCATGAAGGAACTAAATGTGGAAAGTGAATATAATCACCACCATTAATGCTAATGTTGTAATAATCCTTGTCAGAATATATTAACATAAATATAGGCACACCAGTTCCAAAAGGAATTTGGTGTATTATTTTCGTGTTATTATCAAAATCGCTGCTCATTTCTAAGACCGATTCATTGCCTTTTATATATTCAACTTTTTCTCGAAGAGATATGTAATGCCCCGAGTTAAAGTTGAACTGCATTTTTAACACATTTTTAGCAGCTTGATAATTAAAATTTGAAAATTAATTGTTTAGAAAGATAGGTTACAATTATTTGTAACATGAGGTTCATGAACCAAATATACCGTAAACCGTAACGATTTTGGTTTGAATTTATTTACAACATTCGGAATAAAAGCTTCAAAACATAAGATAGTTCCATAAGTTTTCAATTCTTTTAATTCCCTTCTGTAAACGGGCATTCGAATCACATCCTTTGTATTATAATGTAAAAGATGGATGCCACCATTGATCTAAATTTTATTTGTATAGTGAAGTCCATCCCAGAAATCCTTTTCGGAAATAGCAAAAATGGGATGAAACTTGATTTTAATATCCTTCCTATGCAAATTTGTTAACTGAAGTGTCCGATGTTCATGCTGTGGAAAAATGTGTGGATGGGAGATGGAATAGAACCATCACGGAAAGAGCCCAAACCGAAAGCACAACCGACTGTGCCACCATCCAACCCGATGATGGGTTATTTATTTTCATTTATGTTCTTTCTGCAAGTGCGGACACAACACTCCTTCCGCCTTGCGAAATCAAGCGTCCTCGCTTGTTGCCTGTCTTCAATAACTATCATCTGTTTCGATTTTTTTTTTGGAGAGCACACACAGAAACCCATTTGTGGCATTTTTTATTTTCTTACTCGCTGCGCATCATCAGCGTCTTACGCATTTTTATATTAGCCTCACACCACCGGCTAGCCTATCACAACTCAGGCATTTTTAATTTCTCACAGGGTCTTCTCCTATTTCTCTCCACAGTGACAGAATGTCAGATCATCACAGCATTTGAAGGTTCGCTTAAATTTCCTCGGGCTATGCCCGGCCTGTGCGACCGCGCCATTGAAGTGTCCGATGTTCATGCTGTGGAAAAATGTGTGGATGGGAGATGGAATAGAACCATCACGGAAAGAGCCCAAACCGAAAGCACAACCGACTGTGCCACCATCCAACCCGATGATGGGTTATTTATTTTCATTTATGTTCTTTCTGCAAGTGCGGACACAACATTAACTGCTCAACCATCTCACCACGACCTTTATTTCCTATTTATGTGTGAAGGAAACATGGCAGGGAAGAAATTAAAAATTTAGGTTATTCATGTAATTTGAATAACGTATTGTCTCTAATACAAGACCTAGGCTTCTATTCTTCAATAACCCTCATTGTGTGGGCTTCTAATAGGGCATGAGCTCCTATTAGGTTCTATTACATACTTCATCTATGCTTCTATTACATAATTCATCCAAATCACTTTTAGTCACATCAAAATTCATTCTCAGTCATTGGAATTTTTAATCAAATAACAAAGGTAACAGGAATATAACAAAGGTAATAGAAAAATAAGGAGTCAAAAATCAGATGGGCTTCTAGTAGGGCATGGGCTTCTATTGGAGATGGGCTTCTATTAGAGATAATACTCTATATGAAAATTTGGCGCTGGTCTAGTTTATGCGTCCAATGAACTTCTATGCGTCCAGTCGAAGTAAATTGGATTTTTCTTGGTATTGCAAAGTTGGGGTATGGTTCCAAGACATTTATTCATGTTCGGGACCTACGCCCACTGGGTCTGAGACCGTTCGTTACCCTGTCCCTCAAAATTTCTGAAAGTTAAAATGTTTTTCTGAAATTTTTAAAAATGGCTATAACTTTCAGAAATTTTGCGGGATAGGGTAAGGAATGTTTATAGACCCAGTGGGCGTAGGTTCCGAACACGAAGAGATGCCCAAACTGGCAATAACATGAAAAATCCAATTTTCTTTTGATTGAACGAATAAAAGTTCATTGGACGCATAACTTTAGTCAACAAAAAATTACTAAGATTAGATTAATTGTCCAGATAGGATGTTTAGTTATTATTTTTGTATCATTTAAAACTATGTTGTTAATTTTTGTGTAAATGCTGATAGAATCATAATCTTCGTTTAAAATGAAGATAATTTCACATAAGAATGGCTTCCCTTTTTTGAATAATCCTTTTTGAATTTTCTTGGAACAATCCTCCGGAGACGGACACTAAAATTTTTTTCTAGAATTTTAAGTCGTAGGAAATTTACTTGAAACTTAGAAGTTAATTATGCTTAACAATAACTGAGCTACGTATCTGTTATGTATACTTTATCGAATATGCTTCTCTGGGACTGGGCCGTTTTCGGAGCGAGCTTATAAAACAGTGAGTTGTTTATCAAAAAAGATAAAATTCTGCAATAATAACTCTCGCAACTTTAACAAAGTTCTCCAAAAATTTCAGAAAAGCGAAAGGAACCAACCTACAGACTTGTTCTTTTCGTTTTTCACTTATTACACTTATTTTTGCAAAATTTTTCAAGCATTCCTAATATGATTTATGTTGGTGAGGTTATAGTTATGTGTGTGGTGTTTTTCGAAAAAAATTTATACCGTTCTAAAACTCTACCGTTCTCTTTTTTCCCTCTTTTCATTGTGTGCTATCTTACTTCATTTATTTTCCTGTGTATGGCGAAGAGTGGATACTGTATTGAAAATGTAGTGTCTATCGCCTAGTGTTTACTCTAGTGTCTGTCTCCCCTTACAACAAATAAAGGGAAGTAAGAATGCATGTGCGGAAAAAGGGAAAAACAGAATGGTAGAGTACGAAATTATCTCGGGTTAGGGTTCGAATTTTGACATAATTTTTATGTCTAAAAAAATGCTATAAGATATAGATATAAAATACAAAATATCTATAAAATCTGTCGACTTAGTAGAAAATTATTGAGTTTTCAAATAGTATTTCTTAGTTGAAACACCCTGTATAAATCAGCCCGATTGATTCGGTATAAGTCAAGTTCAACTATGATTTGTATTTTATTTTAAATTTTCCTTACACTTTTTGTGTAAATTGCTGTATTTTTCAAATTATTGTTAACTTCCAAAGCATACACAGTTGTTCCAACTAATATAATTGAATTTTTAAAAAAATATTTTAAAAAATAACTATATGGATTAGGTTCATCGGCACCACTCATTAATTTTATATCAAAACTCGTTGCATCATTATTCAACATGACTACTATATAACCCCACTTGGATTATCGATTGATTCTCTCTTCTTCTTCAAAAAGGCATAGGCTTTTTTTCAAAGCCTTTCCACCGCTGTTTGCACGTGACATTCACGTGCAACCAGCCAAAACCTTTTGAAGGGTTTTTGCGGTAAATTTTTCCCCAGCCAAACCAAAACCTTTTGAAGGGTTTTGCGGTAAAATTTTCCAAGTAATTTTTCCAAGTTTTTCTTTTTGCCCCACAGTCCAAAACCTATTAAAATTATTTTTTAAAATTAATTTCCCACCATCGGAGTCGAACCATCAACCTTCAGCCTGTAGTCGGACGCCTTATCCATTCGCCCGCTCGCGAGTGTTAATAGCTTTCAAATAAAATTGAATATATGTCGGCTGGTTTCCTCCTCTCTTTAACCAGCTTCAACAGGAAAAATTAGTATTGATTGAATCACCCCCCACATACCCACTAGGTAAAAATAGAAAGAGAAAATAAAGAGGTATATGATAAGAATAAGAGAGACAGCACTGACTCAACCCGGTTGAGTCAGTGCATGTTCTCTAACCCCTCTCCTCCCAGTGGGAAAATTTATTATTGATCTATTACCCGGTAAATGCTCACTAGGAGAAAATAGAAAAAGAAATAAAGGAGAGAGAAGGTTATAATGAGAGAGACAGCACTGACTCAAAAGGTTTGAGTCAGTGCAGGTTCTCTAACCCAGTGGTTAGAGAAGACAGAGAAGACAAACTACAGCCAAGACAAACTACAGCCACCCAGCTGCGGGGAAAGAGTGAGGGTACTCTCTTGGGAAAGTACACACTCTCTCTTATTTTCCTGCAGCAGGAAACGACAATTGGCTTACTACCCTACAAATCAACATTTGGTCTTTTACCCTAAACACCACATTTGGCCAACTACCCCCAAACAACACATTCGGCCATTTTTCTTAAAAGAGGCCATTTTGTCTAATTATTGGTATTATTTTGGATTACGCGTAGAAACAAGGGGAAAATTTTGGACAATATCCGCTGCCTCGCTATTAGTTAAATAGCCGCGATTGCGTAAATATCTTATTGTTGAAACCCAGCAAAGGATAAGAATTGGCAATAAAAGTGAATATAATAATAGAATAATGGGAAATCCTGTACTTATTGTTTTTCCCTGTTTACCCTCCAAGTATTCTCTATCAAGAGATAAAAAATCGTACGGAATGTAGCTTGTATTGTTCATTATTATTATTACCAAATTCATGAAAGTTGTTATGTATTAACCTAGTGTTGAATCAGAAACAATGTGTCTGTTATAATCAATCATTAGCAATTGGTCAAACTCGCCCATAATAATCATCTCAACACCACCTGCAGGAATTGGAGAATTAAATTCTAGTCGAACACTAGTGGTTCCACTACGTAAAAGCTCAAAACCACAAGAGTCATCTAAAGTAGATGTTAGGGGAATAACAAAGAAGCTCCAGCCCGATTTAAATTGGGCCATTGAAATGTCAAAGGACCTATCTGAATTGGCCATCCCCAATGCTTCATACATGTCAACATATGCCCTTACGAAAATATCCTCGTCAAATTTAAGCTTATAGGAGACCATTGGATAAATATGGCCGCCAGTATGAACCGAAATATCTCTCAAATTGAATGGTTTAAAATTAAAAGGGGAAAGACTAATGTCCCCGTTAAATGCTCCATTTGCAACAAGTGCAACTGTAATTCTCCTAGGAATGGTTGAACTAAATGCATTGTATTCAATCTCGGTTCTTCCGGGACTGAGGAAAGTAGATTTAAGCTCAGTTCTTCTCACTGCATAAGTAGCCGGCTTGGATTCCAGAGTTTTGTAAATACTCATGTTAAGTGAGGGTTGAACCTCAATCATTTTCGCTAGCAATTTAACATCATGGACAAAAATTCTATATTGATTCTCATCCCCAGGATTTAATTTCTGTAAAGC